GGAGGAATGATGGATGGATGGATGGATGGATGGATGATGGATGGATGGATGATGGATGGATGATGGATGGATGATGGATGGATGGATGGATGGATGGATGGATGGATGGATGATGGATGGATGATGGATGGATGGATGATGGATGGATGATGGATGGATGGATGATGGATGGATGATGGATGGATGATGGATGGATGGATGGATGGATGGATGGATGGATGGATGGATGGATGGATGATGGATGGATGGATTGATGGATGGATGATGGATGGATGGATGGATGATGGATGGATGGATTGATGGATGGATGATGGATGGATGGATGATGGATGGATGCAGTTTTCTGTCAGTTTGAGTCTCTCTGGTTTTTACAGTTTTTCAGTTTTCTGTCTCAGATCTGATCAGAAGTGAAACTGCTGATCAGCCTTTAATCACCTGAGCTGCAGCTCTGCAGCAGATGGACTCCTCTGATAGGAGGAATCTGCCCCATCATTTCCTCTGATGGTTATCTGACCCCAGATCAGATCTGATGGTCACGACGCTCGTTAAATAAGGCTGATCTGAGAGCAGAGAGCACCAGAACCCGGACCGGGCCACAGCGGAGAGGACATGAAGCTGCAGAGACGCAACATCAACATGCTGCTGGTGAGAGTCTGATCTATTAACTGTAATTCTAGGTTTCATTTTCACACCGTCTGAAAACAGGAAACTTTCCATTTTTCTAATGATTTGAAAGCTTCTGTTCCCTCAGCGTGTTTGATGTAGAGTCAGACTGAGTTTGGGTTCTGATGTTCGGTTCTGCTGGTGTTTATTACGGTTCTGTTGGATCTGATTTTATCTCCAGTCCCTTCTAATGAAACACGGTTCATGTTTTGCCCCATTTGTCCAAAAGCTGTTCTCTGATTCTTTTTGGGGGGGTTTGGTTCTGACATAGAAGAACTGTTCAATTCGTAACCAGATCTGATTCTTAAACTCCAGCATCACTTTATCTGTTTAATAAAACCAAAGTCTTGATTTAGGATTTTCTTTTCTGTGTTTTATTTTGTTCTTATCTGTATAAGCTTCTTTATGTTCCTCTCAATATGAAGACCTCTATCTCTATGAATGTGTATAATTATCATCTGTTTATTTAAAGGCTTATTTAACCAGCTGGTTTAGAAACCTTTAGTTTCTGTATTATGAGTCTCGTCTGGGTTTAATTGATCTTGATTCTTTTATCCTCCAACAAAGGGGGGGGGGGGGGGGACTTGCTTTTGACCATGGGTGTCATTTCATCTTGAGGAATTGTTTCAAATGAAATGTTAAATGTTCATAAAGATGTAAAATCTCGTCATTTATTGCATTATAGTTTATCTAAAGATATCAGTCATGGATCTGATCTCAGGCTGACTGGATCCTTTTTAATCGGAGTTAAATGGA